CAAGGAATATGTCCCCATTAAGGTAACATGCATAGCCTAGTTAGGAAGAGACGAGGCAACCCCCTAAGAACCTCTCTCCCCGACATAGGCAATAAGAGGAAAGAGAACCTAGGCCCAAGAATGGGCAGAGGAAAACAAGAGACCCCTAGCGAAGATAAAAAATACTCCAATCTGGGAGATAGATGCAATCTTTAAGACGCCTTATACGGGTAGGCAGTCCAAAAATGCTCAAAGAAATTATGTTAAGGAGGCGAGAGACCTCCAATGTATAGCTACATAGTGAATGACCGACTATTTAGGCCTCTAGAAAATCTTGGGCCTTATCATTTTTTGCCAAGTTAGCATGCCTTTTCTGCTCGATAGAGGACTCTTCTAGTCGTTCAAAATTATAATTGGAGTTGAAATTGGAGGAATTGTTGGAAAGACGAATGGAGTATTTGCTGATAAAGGGGTTGAAATCATAGCAGAAGGCTCTCCAGAAAGGATGGGTGGCCGAGGTGCCTTAATGGCAACTGTAAGTTCAAGAAGAGGCGCATTCATCGTTTTCTTAATGAGGGACTACTACATCTCATTAAGGACATCATGTTAAGGCATCTCCTTGCTCACCTTCTTTAACTGATATTTCTGCCGCTTGTAAGCAAATGTTGAGGTCTTCAATTCCATTGCCATTGCCACACTTCGACGAATGGACGACATGTTAGGTCGAAGGACCTTCTTCTTATCACCGTTTTCTACAATAAGAGTAAAGTTTTAGCACAAAAAAACATAGTGAAAAGGGATAGATGGACCGAAGCGAAGAAGCAACAATTACCTTTGTGATCCACCGTGTAGTTACAAACAAAGTGAAGGTTCTTCTCGATTAACTCGAAGTAATGATGAACTATGTGAGAAAGTTGGTAAATGATGCGGATAATGTCCCAGTCAGCCTCAAACAATTCACAACGAAGAAGGGAGCCTGCAAACAAAGCAATATACATTAAGTTATCATAAAAGAAGAAGATGCCACACTTTAGCATCGAGAATCTCCTTCAATACCCCTACCTGCCAATGTCCAGAACCATGACTCCTTCCATCCCTTCATGAAACTCGATAGCCCCATCATTAAAGGGGAATGTGCTCTCGATGCAATGAGATAATACAACCCATGCAAGTATCTTTCCTAGAGGGCTGATATATCGTATGAAAAATGCTAAAGGACATGTCCTCGCCCAGGGCCATCTCACGCTAGAGCCTCCACAATCCAACAATTTGGCTCCAACCATTAGAGTTTAATTTGGTGGGAGCTAGGCCGTAGGATCAATGGACTAAACGAAAGAATGTGTGAACCGGTAAACGAAGCCCGACCTTTAATATGGCCTCAGTGAACGGCCACCGAATACCACGATCAAATAAATGGAATCTCCTTCACGACCCACTACCTTCGATGCAACATACCACCATGACGATCGAGGAATGCACTTCTTTGCAACGACACCACCATATTTGGTGGGTTGACCACTGGGGCACACCACTCTTGTCACCATGAGAATGTGCCAAATTTCACCTTGCATTCAGGATCCAATTGTATTCATCCATCCTACATTTGCATTTAGGCTTTATTTATTTATTTTTTTTTTTTTGTTGAAGTGCGAGAAAATTACTTTTGTTAACGTCTAAAAACTAATTTTTAAAAAAACTCCTTTTTTTTTATTTTGTGGGTGGGTGGGGGGGGGGGGGGGGTGAACAGTAAATATGTTGTCTGTAAGATAGGTGGCATAGTTTTCCTTTATATTTGGATCCATAACAAACAATTTTCTCAAAAATATTTAGCGCACAACGTTAATACTCAAATAACTTTTTTCTTTCTTTTTGGTTATTGTCAAAACTGTCTACTCTTCTACATGAAAGACGCTTTGAATGCATAATTTTATTATTTCATTTAGCTTTTGAGGGCATATATCATAATGCTGTTATTATAATAGTTTTCTATCGAACATGAATATGTGATAAGAAAGTTACACAAAAGAAGGTTCAAAAAGTTGTCATTTAAATATGAATAGCTTGTCGTTAAGCCATAACCATTAAAGGATTAAAATTGAGAAACCAAAAAGAAAAGTAAAAAAGAGAGAGAAAAAAAAAAACCATATCTTTTGAGGGATATGCATCTTCTATCGTGGAATTGCACCATCACTCTCTTTATGACGATTGAGAAAAGATAGAAAAGGCTGAAACTTTGATAAAATTATAGATTGCATGAGGGTAAACACGTAGATTTAGGGTGGAAAGTGAGCATTTCTTTTCAACATACTTTCCAAACGAGTCAATGCTCTTACGTTTATTTCTACGTGCTGGGCTCTAATCTGTTATTATCTCTTAACACAAATGTCTGCTTTTGAACGAAATCAATGTTTTTATTTTAATCGCCTATTTTAGAATATATATAATCAATCTGAATTCGAAATTATTTAATATCTCAATATTATACTATAGAAATTACGAAAATTCTACAAAAATACCATTTTTTTTGGGCATAAAAAACAGGTATCGGAACCTACTTTTTAAGAAAATGTGACGTGAGTATATCACATTTTCCATTCCCATATTTTTATGCAAAATAAGTACTTATTTTGGGTATAATAATAAATTTACGAAATCTCATTTTAATAGAAAGTTCAAATGTGATCTCAGGACAGAAAAACTCTACCATCGACGAAAGATGATAATGAGCATGATTAAGGAGAATGAAGTGTAGCTAGGGATGTAAATGAGCAGTCGGGCTAGCTCGGGTGCGTCTCGGGTCAGCCGAGCCAAAGTTCGATCGAAAAACTGAGACTTGGCTCAGGCTTTAGGCTCCGGCCTTATCGAGCCAATTCGAGTTGAGCCAACTTGGTATTTATTTATTTATTTTTACAAGCGACTGCTTGGAGCTGCATGCTGCTTCAAGGTAGCCACTTAGTTTACGGTTTGCGTTTGGAATATTTATCATAGATTTGGGCATTTATGGAAATGTCTTGTTTTGCTACTGCTAGGCATGCATCCCTTAGACCCTTACACCTATATGTATTTGCTTGAATTAATAGCAGAAAACTCCCTAAAAACGTTTCCATTTGCGATATACCTCATATCTATTGAAAATCACAGTAAACCCCCTTATTTGAAACATTTTGTGCGAAACCCTCTTTGTTGTCAAAATTCGTTAGATTTTCCGTTAAAAAATAGTAAAACAATGCCAAAATTAAAAAAAAAAAATTGTAATTTCAGTGCCAAAACTTTTATTTTTTTTACAAATTAAATCCAAATGTTTTCAATGTGTCACTCATAATCTCAAATCTTTAAAACTTTATATTTTACCATATTCCATCTACCCCACTTCATCTTCTTGCATATGTGCTTCAGCATTAGTAAGCCATTGCCCATCATACCAACCAAGCCCAGGAGCGTCTTTCTATCTGAGCCACACTTCATTTTCTTTTTCGAGCCCAGTCTCATCGCAATATGCTACTAATGTCATTAATACTGTTGATCCTAATTCTCTTCTCCCATGGCTTAAAAATTTGTCTTCTGGCTCGCCACATATGCATCCCTGGAGGTTCAATTAGTGCTCCTATCACCCAGCCATTGAGCTCACCTACTGTACACCTAGAATGAACGCCAACTGGGATAATCTGACAACTGATTCAGCCAAGGGAGGCCAACATTATTCCTTCCTTCCCTCGTCTACTCCAAGGAGTCCTGGTCATCAAACTCCACCCGATTCAGGATGGCTTTCTAGTGTTCAAACTCCCAATGATGGACCTTCTTCTCCTACATTCAAACCCCTAATGATGGACCTACATTCAAACTTCCAATAATTTATTGTATTTTAATTTAATTGGTTTTTATGTTAAAAAAAAAGTAAAAAATATTATTTTTGGGAAGAAGACGAAGAGGGTTAGAACGGGGTAGGTTGAAAAATAAAGTTTTAAAGGTTTTGGATTGTGGGTGTCACGTATAAAATATCTGGATTTAATTTCTAAAAAAATAAAAGTTTGGATACTGAAATTGCAATTATTTCTTTTTAATTTTGACATTTTTTACTATTTTTAACGAAAAACCTGATGGATGTTGACTGCATAGGGGTTTTTTGCACCAAATATTTCAAATATTTGGATTTTCTGCGATTTTCATAGATAGGGGATATATCGCAAATAGAAACGTTTTTAGGGGGGTTTTCTACTATTAATCTTATTTGCTTTGTCTTGAATTAATGAGATGTAAAAAAAAAGTTTTAATCTTGCTTTTTACTACTTTACCTCTTGTCCATTTGTTTTATTCTTATATGGATATAAAGTCATGTAATTTGAGTGGGGTCGAGAATTGAATAGCCGAGCTTCAGACATGGGTCGGCCCATGTGGCTCACCGGCTTGGGTTCTAGCTGTCATTTGAAAAAGATGCTCAACTCGAGCCTTGACTCGATTCCATCGAGTTGCGAGCCAAGCCGGTTCGAACTTTTACAGGCCGAACTGCGAGCCGATGAATTGAACTGACATTCCTAAGTGTAGCTGATTTTAACTATGTGAAATTGATGGTCCCGCTTAAACGATGGAGCATAATTCCATGCAAATTATTTTCTAATTCTTTCCTAAAGAAAAATCAACATTAAATTATGTATTAAAATAAGGAATTTAGTATGTCACTTTTTTCTAGTGGGAAAATGCATGGCCTGCTTGCATAACTGAATAACAGAATTAACAAAGGAATGTTTTGTTCTTTCTATTTTTTTTCCCATTCTGATTGAGTGCTTCGACTTTTTCCGTACCTCCATTTTTGTTCTTCTACCTCACTTCTTCTGCAAGTTAATTACTAAAGTTCCACGTGTGTATGACATGCTCTAACAAAAAGAGGAAGATTTTGAGTAGAATATATTGAGGATTTTTTCCCCATTTTTTCCTAATCAAGAAACAAAGAAACTAATAAAATGGACCAAATTGGAGCGTACACATGTAATTATTTTTTGATAATTGCATTTCTTGTTTACATAATGAGCTGTAGAGTTTCTGAGGGTTCGAGTATTGGAGTGAATTGGGGTACAATGGCAACACATCAGTTGCCGCCAGAAAGTGTAGTACAGATGATGAAAGATAATGGGTTCGGCAAGGTTAAGCTGTTCGAGGCAGATGATAAGATTCTGCAAGCATTGGCTGGGACTGATATTGAAGTTATGATTGCAATACCCAATTACATGTTGGAGCAGATGAGCCAGGACCCGGACGCTGCCGCTTCTTGGGTCGAAGCCAATCTCACTGCTTATTCATACTCTGGAGGAGTCAATATCAGGTTGAGTTATTAACAATTTTAACGCCATTTCTTGATAATATTGGAAATTTTTGTTGGGTCTCTTTTGGCTGTGTATCTATGTCCTCTGTTTGCATACACACTGAACAGCTGAACTTCAAATTCGACTCGGGTGGGCTTAATTAGTTTTTCTTGGAATTATTTCAACGTATTAGCTATTGGGTCAATTCGAAAAACTGTGGTAACTTATGATCCTAAGCAGAAAGCAAATTTTCTGATACTGGGTTGGAGAAGATCGAACTATATAAATTGAAGGAAAGATTGAAAATAGCTTTTAACCGAAGTAGAAATATTACGTGCGTGTTTAGCGTGCAGTATTTGGTAGCACTAGATTGTGCAATAAACAAATTTTTAGCATATTTTTTTTACAAGTGATAAATTATGTGCCAAGTAGAGTGCAATTATATGGTTTTCCTGTTCTTTCTAACTACAGCTTCATAACAATCAATACAATTTTGCAGGTATGTTGCTGTGGGTAATGAACCTTTTCTCACTACCTATAATGGCACCTACTTACACACCACACTACCAGCCCTTAAAAATATACAGGAAGCCATTAACCATGCTGGGCTGGGGTCACAAGTGAAAGCAACAGTCCCCTTCAATGCTGATATTTACAACTCTCCAGACTCAAATCAAGTTCCCTCTGCTGGTGAATTCAGACCCGAAATACGTGATCTCACAATTGAAATAGTCCAATATCTATTTTCAAATGATGCGCCATTTGTTGTTAACATCTATCCTTTCTTAAGTCTCTATGGAAATGTTTACTTTCCATTAGACTTTGCCTTTTTTGATGGATCAAACAAACCAATTAGAGATGGTGATTTTCTTTACAGCAATGTATTTGATGCAAATTTTGACACTCTTGTTTCGTCTTTATCAAAGGCGGGGTACCCTGACATGAAGATCACAATTGGAGAAGTAGGCTGGCCAACTGATGGTGATAAGCATGCCAATACCCAATATGCTAAGAGATTTAATCAAGGAATGATTCAGCATGCTTTAAGTGGAAAGGGAACCCCTGCTAGGAAAGGTAAAATCGATGTTTACTTGTTTAGCCTCATTGATGAGGATGCCAAAAGTATTGCTCCTGGTAGTTTTGAGAGGCATTGGGGGATTTTCGAATTTGATGGGAAGCCAAAATACGAATTGGATTTGTCGGGTTTGCAAGAAAATAAGGGCCTAGTTGCAGTAGATGGTGTTAGATATTTGCACAAAAGATGGTGTATTTTGAACCCACACGTCAACGAATTGGAAGACTTGGCAAGAAATATTGATTATGCTTGTAGCTTATCAGATTGCACTGCTCTGGGCTATGGTTCTTCCTGTAATAATCTGAGTGTCCAAGGGAATGCTTCCTATGCTTTTAACATGTATTATCAATTTAACAACCAAAATGATTGGGACTGTGATTTCTCAGGCTTGGCTATGATCACAGATGAGGATCCTTCAGATGATAAGTGTAGGTTTCCAGTGATGATTGCTTATGGTCATTCAGTTGTGCTGCTGCATATGAAACTAGTAAACATTTTACTTGCCATTCTTGAGGGATGCATAGTATTTTTGCTTCTAGTCTCTTAGTATGGTGGATATCAAGGCTGTGGATATTAATTTTTGTTTTGAACAGATTAACAGGGTACATGATTCTGAAGTTCCTTTTTTAAGTGATTTCTTGTTTTCTTCTTGCCACTTAGACATCTGTGACTCTGATATACAAAATTTAGGCTTGTTTTTCTTTTTCTCCACTTGTTATCAATCTTTGTCTGTTGTTATTTAGAGAAGCAGTAAGAATATGTTAGACTTCTTGATACATTTCAATTGGACAAAGTTTTGAACTTAATGTGCGTGTACAGTCCTTGCACGACAGCAGCATCCCGTCTGTTTACTGAACTTTCTTTTATATTTATACGTACTTAAGTTCAAAAGAATTGCTTATCTAAGACTTGAGAGTATCCAAGAGCGAAAGAAGATGCATTCGATGTACTTCCTTTGCTAAATAACATTCAATTGTTAGAGTGTTACAAGTTAATCAGAGACTGCTTAGTACTGATAAGATCTTCTGAAGTTTGTGATAATGTGCAGCTTGAGGCGAGTTTTGAAACTTTTATTGTTTCATGAACACCATGAAAGCAGAGAAACTAATGTCAAAAGAGATATAGGGAGATGTGGTGGCTGATTTGGAGACAATGGTCAAGTAATCGCTTTGAATTTGTGATGGTAATTTGAAATAGTCTGTTTGCATGACTGCTTTGTATTTAGAGAGAACTAGGAGTGGCGGCAAATTTGGTGTTGCAAAGACTTGTCTTGTCACTTTGCAAATTCTATGAAACTACGGTGTGCTACACACCAATTTGGAGTATGGTGATATTTTAGGATTTCCCATTGGCACTCTGCAATATCTTGCGCATTTGACATGTCCCTAGATTCATTGTGGACATCACCCTTCTTCATGCTTCTTCAAGTCGAACATCCACCTAACTATGACATCTTGGGTTAGGCCATTCTTGAGTTACTTGGCCATTTATGTCTTGTTATATTTGATTAGCTTGAGGTCCAATTGTCCTATGACGCTAGAACTTTAGTTCGATCTCCACAATTGACTAACCCCATCACAATACTACCTAACTAATTATTAGTTGATGAATAGTTATGTTTAGATTTGTTCAAATTTTAGATCTTTACTCTGACGACTTGTCTCCCCATGTTGTGTCGCCAGTAATGTCATCATGCTCTGAGTACGTGTAATATTTGTACCCAAAACTACCTAGAAAAATTATTTTCAGGTTAAACATTATACAAGGTGATGAAGATGTGTGCCGTTCAATCACAATTAAGCTTTATTGTGGTGGAAGGATTGTGAGGCAATAAGGCAGACACGTGCCATTTGAAATTCTTTTTAGACAATCTTTTATGAACATGAGGTGGCTCCTACTAGGAACAAGAAAGCATTGGAGCATGTCATTGCGGACCTATGTTAGAAAGCCATGAACTCAAAGTTATAACCTAAATACTCTGCAATGTTTGAAACTGTAAGATCAGATATTGCTACAGTAAATAAACAAGACAGAGATTTTGTGTTTGAGTAAGTTTGAATACCTTACCCTTTGAATGACTTGTATATTTATAGATTTACAGTATAAACAAAATTCAGCTTTACGAGAAAGTCTAACGAACTCGGCCATTATCCTATCCGTAATATCAGTTATCCTAATATACAGTAACACCCCCTGCAAATCGGTGGGAATCCTGCAAATCACTAGTTTGGACCTCAAGAACTGAAACCATGAGGCTGTGGGGCCTTTAGTAAACACATCAGAAAGTTGGTCTTCAATAGAAATATGACAGACCTGAACATCTTTATTTTCCAACCTTTTCTCTGAATAATTAATGATCCACTTCAATATGCTTTGTCCTAGCATAAAAAACTGGGTTTGAAGGTAAAGAAATTGAACCTATGTTGTCACACCAAATCACAAGAAATTTAGGTAGAGAAATCCCCAATTAGTGTAGAAGCATACATATCCAATAGAGTTCAGCAGTGGCTAGAGCCAGTGACCGATATTCAGCTTCTGTACGAACGAGAGACAATATTTTACTTTTTAACACTCCATGAAACCAAGTTTTTGCCCAGAAAAATGCCATACCCACTGCTACTACGTCTGTCATTCGAATTTCTTGCCCAGTTTGAGTTGCAAAAAGCATTTAAATCTATCGTTGAGTGAGTGTAATAGAGACCATAGTCCACTGTCCCTTTAAGATACTGAAGAACACGCTTTAGAGTTGTCCCATGTCCTTCACTTGGATAATGCATGAATTGACATGGTTGGTTGATGACATAAGAGATATCTATTCTTGAAATAGTACAACATTGAAGTGCATCAAATCACGGCATGCCTGAACTCCTAGGAAGTAACTCAAATTTTCGAGGTCCTTGAGCTGAAATTGACTTCCTAGTGCAGCAATAAACTGAGTAATACCCGTTGTATATGTTCCTGTCACAATGATATCATCTACATAAACAAGAACAAATATTTATAAGTTATTCGTTTTGAGAGTCTTCGAAACCATGCTCTCGGAGCTTGTTTATGCCTACAGAGAGATTTATGTAGCCTGCGGACAAAATTAGGTTGGGACCCATCAAGAAATCCTCTTGACTGCTCCATGACCACCTCCTCATCCAATATGCCATGTAATAGGCTTTTGAAACATACAATAGCACAATCGGCCATTGAAAATTGATTGCCAAGGCTAGAATTAAATGAATAGTTGAAGGTTTAATTACTGGCGAGAATCACGTTGATCAAAGCCTTTGGCACCAACGGTGTCTTGTACCTCACAATGCTGCCATCCATTTTTTTTTTTCCCATTTGTTACAAGTGACAGTCTTATGAAGTGGTCATGGACATAAGGACCATGTACCTTTGGCAATTAACTCACGTCCAACAACATTGCGCCATTTAGAGCTAGACACAGCCAGCATGAAGCAACTAGGTTCATGTTCATGATAAATAGTGGACAACACACAAAGAGGGTGTTTGGTGGAGAAAAAACATTTGAAGCCAGGGAATTGTTTGGGCTTAAGTTTTTCTGTTTTTGAGTCTGGTTACCAACTGTTTAACTGGCTGTGTCTGAGATAAGATTATAGTATTAGGACCAGGAGATGGTAAGATAAGATTTTTGAGTTCAGGTTCCTCACATGATGTTATGATTTTTTTATTTGGTATATTGATGGTAGGCTCGACTGTTGGAGTCATCTTGAATATGTGATGATTCCATGTTGGTTGAAGATCTAGGTGAAGGTTGCAGCTAAGCAAAAGGGTCTAAAAATAATTGCAAATGAATAGGTGGTGGTAATTTGAATTGAGAAACTTTACAGATAACAACAGAATCCTATTTCGTCGTGGTGTCTGAAACCATATCAGTTGCTGAAAAAGAGTTCTCGTAACAAATGACATTTCAAGAGATATAAACTCTACCATTGGTTAGGTCCAAAAATCTATATCATTTTTGTTATCCTGAATATCCCATGAAGACACTTTTTTTTTTTTACCTAGGGACAAATTTATAAAATACAAAGAAATGAGATAGATTGTTTAGAACCTTGGTTGGGAGCTATTTATCATATAAACTGATTTTAGGAATGAGTCAACCCAATAACTTGTTGGCAGATGTGATTTTGCAAGAAGAGTTAGTCCCATTTCTCTTATATGTCGATGCTCTCTCTGCAATGCTATTTTGTGGAGAGAAACATGGACGAGTTAGAAGATGATATATTCCATTCGTGTTTAAAAACTATTAAATTTATTCGAGAGAAATTCTCCTCCATTATCTGGAAATTTTTAATCTTGCAAGAGAAGTTTTCGATAACAGTTTTACTTTTCTTGAAAAATTCAAAGACATCATATTTATGAGCCATGGGATACAACCATGGAAACGTGAAAAATCATCTATAAAAATAACATAAAAAGACATATCCACCAACTGAAATTATAAGAGCCTATGGATCTTGAGTCTGACATGTGGAGTTCTCATAGGGAACCTATTTGGCCTTTCCTAGAGGATAGGGACTCATGAAAGGCAGTCTTACTAATTGAAGGAATTGCAAGGAAGATATCCTGACAAAAAAAAACTATGTAAGACAAGGTCGAAGGGTTTGCCTAAACGATCATGCCAACCTTACTTAGTTGTCTTTGATCCTAATTTGGTTGCAAAGCAATGCAATTTTTTGGAGAAGCTCTTGTTGCCAATATAGACCATTCTCAGCTTGACCTCAGAACAATTTTCTGTTGGTCTAATTCTATTTCACAAAAAAAAAAAAAGACTACGAGTCAGTATAAAATAACAATTATTATTCGTACAAAATTTGTTGATAGAGAGTATTAGCAAAAGCATCATGACAATGTTAAATGTTTTTCATGTGAAAGGTATAGTTATCAACTAAAAGGGAAGTGTATCCAGTATGTTGAATTGATAAAACCTGTACCTTTGCCCACTCTGATTGTGTCTACTCCAAACGGTTGCTGAATAGTGAAATTTGCTATATTAGTGGTTATGTGTGAATTAGCCCCACTGTCATCATACCATATTTGATGATCAAAAGCTGCATTAGAATCTGCTGCCATGGTTGCGAGTTCAACAGGAGAAATTCAACATTGATATACATAACTGAATTGTTCATAGAAGTCTAGTGCAGTATGATTTGGTTTGCCACAAATTTGACAGATAGACCTGTTAGATGATGCACCTTGCGAGCGAGGAGGATGCTGTGGGGACCTCGACTATTACTACCAACAGAAGCAAGTTGTATTGGTTGTCTGAAATTAAATTTATACCTAGCCATCGTGGTTTCTTGGGATAATTTGGCATTTTATTCTTCGTGGCAACAAAGGTATAGCGAGTACAAAATTCTGATTCTGATTGTCAAGCAGGGCTTGAAAGCTGAGTAGTTCAGCTTGAAAATCTTCCAAGGCAAGATCACAGTCCAGTTTGGCAAAAGTATAGGAGGAAATAAATGGTGTAAAACTCACTTTAAGGCCTCCGAGTAATTGACCGATCAGGTCTTGACAATCAATAGGTTTCCC